GACAGGACAGGACAGGACAGGACAGGACAGGACAGGACAGGACAGGAGACATGTATGGAAAGCATGTTTGCACAGGAGCACAGAAGCTCTGTGACTCCCATCAAAACCCAAAGAAATACTGTGTCTCATCTGCCCATTTAATGATCCACCACTGAGTCTGATGAATCATAAAAAGTTAACAGAACTAGGGCCAGAGCAGCATGACAGGCCAGATGGACGATATTCCAATCCTACCAACCGAGAGAGCTCAGGGACCTTTAAGACGGAGGCTCCAAATCACAGCCTGTGCCTGAGCGGCAGCCTCGACATGGGCTTCTGGGCCACTGCTAGCCTGGCCATACCCTAGCAGGTTCCCAGGGCTGCCAGACACCTAAAGTGAGCCTCTGGGAGTGCCCTTGCCTCTTCTGTGCCTCAGTTTCTTTCTGCATGATGTAGAAATTGCACTTTCTCTTACATCTTCTCTTTCTGACTACTTGTCACCACTACATGGTCCAGATACAATCGTCCTGCCCCTCAGCACTGCCCCTTTCTCTCCTCAAACTTGAGATGCCAAAGGTCCCACAGCTACCATCCCAAGCCTGTTTGTCAGGACACACCTGCTAATCGCATAGCACAAATGGTCCCCACCTCCTTGCCACCATTCCTGTACCTTCTTCTTAGTTTCAGTCTATTTATCAAAAGTCTGCAGAGGCCAAGGCCCAGGCATTGAGGAAGGGCCTCAAAAGTTGGCCATGAGAAACAGCTCTCTGATGGATTGATTCTCCCCATCCTAGCGTCTAAATCTCCTTGTTCCCCCAACAACACACTTGCTTTTCCCTCTCTGCTCTGTGAGTTTTGGGCTCCTGAGGACAAGAGTCTCTTGTGTTATCTACTCACTTACTCTGCGTCTCTCAATAAAAGAACTTTCATCGTGAAATTACACTTGGGATGAGAGAACACCATAATCACCTTCCTCATAAGTCCATGTATCAAGTCAACTGGGGGTTGCTGTCCTGGTCACTGCTGTGACCCCTGCAATTTCTACAGGGATGGAGCTAGTCAGAGTCTAGTATCTGCTGAGTGGCAGTATTCTTTCCACCGGAGAACAGAAACAACCTAGTCTTCCCCTTAAAACTACCCGGCTATCCAGCTCGCATATTGTTACTAACACAAACACCCCAAAGGATCACTGTCCAGAACGAGGAAAGTATAAACCATGCCTGAGCTTTACCTGGGCAGCTGTTACTCCAGATGTGACCTCAGCCTGGCCTGTCAGAACCCTCAGAAGCCCCAGCTACCCCAATAGGCTCAGAAATAAGACATGTGGCCCAACTAGTTCAACCGGAACCAACTTTCCTGCATCTGTTTAAGAAGAAGGCTTTCTATTCAACCTGAGAAGAAAAACACAACTTGGGGCATGCCAAAGGTCACAGAAAAGAAACAAAGAAAGTGGAGCTAAGAAATCGGGAGTAAATCCTAGTTAGTTATAGCCCCTTGGCCTAGCCATCCCTGACTACCTAGCCTATAGTTGCTTTCAGTTTGCTTGTTTGCTTGCATAAGTCAATTTGAGCATAGGTTTTGTGACAGAGACACAGGGGTCTGACTAACACAATGTGTTCTCAGGTACCCATGAAAGAGATGACTGAGGGAGACTCAGGCCAGGGCCCCTTAGACACTCAGTGACTGTGGGTTCCGGACCCTCTCTGCCACCTTACTACGACAAGGACCCAGAACAGTATGAGGCAGGAATTCTACTACTGCCTGGTGAGATCCACACAGACCCCTGTAGAGACTGGTATTGCCTGGAGGACCACCAGGGAGACCATTTCTCAAGGAGGAGCTACGGACCTTGCCCAATCTGCCTATGGCCTCATTTCCCATCCCCAGCCTTTGCCAAGCCCAGGGAACATCACCTCCTTATCTGAGAAGGACACCCAGTTCCAAACCTGTGTCATTGTGGGGACACTGCAGAGTCACTGCTACCGAAGAGTGACATGGTGCCTCTAGGGCTGTGTGACAAGAACAGCTGCCAAGAGCACCCCATGGGGAAGTGGAGGGAGGAAAAGGCTGAGGCAAGCAGATCCCAATCTCTGGGATGAGAGGAAGCCAGGTTTGCAATTTCACCCAGGGACAGGAAAGACCTCCTCATCAGGGGATGGAGAAAATCCCCAAGATACCACCTAACTCCAGCAGCTAACTCAGCACTGAGCCATCCCTAGCAGTAAGGGGTTAACCAAATTCTCAGTCTGACCAAAAGAAGCAACAGAGCAGAAAGGGTCCAAGACAAACCCTTGACCCATCCCAAGCTTCCCTGCACCCCAGCATCCCTGCAGTCATCTTTCCTTCTCTGACCAGGAGTAACACCTACACCTCCCCTTGCTCATGCTAACACATGCACACATGTTAACACATACACACATACATACACATACACAATAATTGATCACTACTAGATGCTCCTAGCATCCTAGCTTATAAAAAAAAAAGGTAATTAAAGATCGGTGCTGCAGCCTGTAATTAAATATGAATAAAGTATCTCTAAATGGAACCTTAATTCAAAGTGTTCAGTGAAAGTACTTTATGCTGATAGATAGTAAGGAAAAATAGACCCTGTCCTGAAAGCAGAATTATACCCCCGAGCAGCTGAAACAAATGCTGCCCCTCCCTTCCAGTTGCCAAGGACCTGCCTCCTTCCCTGGCCCTCTCAGCACAAAGCCATTAGCAGAAACAAACTGCAGTGTTTTCGGCAATTACATTCAAGCAGGGCCCTGGGCTGCCTCCAGTCCCTCATGGAAACTTGTCTCCTTCCACTGCCTGCCTCCCTGTCCCTTTTTTCTCTTCTCCCCCTCCCTGGGTCTGGCGGCAAAATCAATTAAGTAAAGCAGCTGAATTTTAAAACGGCTGGTTGTGTGCTTTTTAATTACCATCGGTCTGAGATTCAAATATATTGATATGATCGTCTAGAAAAGAAAAAATTCTCAGGAAGAAAGTTGTTCCAGCTCTGTGGAGAGAGAAACTGAAAGCAAGAGAGAGAGAGACGGACTGACAGACAGAACAAAAATGTAAAGGGGATGGTCTTTTATAAGGAAAGACATTGATCAGGCAAGAACAGGATCCTCCCTGGTACTTGAGTTGTCCAACATGAGGAGAAGGGGTCCCAGGACCAGAAGACCAAGGGACACTGTGCCTATACATATAGAGATTTCCACAGTAAGGCCAGTGGGCTCCCAGAAAGTAAGGCCACTGAGCATCTTTTCCAAAATGCCACATGGAGTGGCTAAGCACTGGCCAGGAGCCTCATTTGACTGAAAATAAAATGACAAGAGTCAGGCTGACTTGAAGAAGCTACAGAACTCCGCTCCAACTCAGTCTCTTAGCCAGTCACTGTCTGAAGGTCTGGTCAGCCTGAGGCCCCAAATGGCCATTGGCTCAAGGTCACAGGTTAGGGCAGGGTGAGGATGGACTTTCTTATAAAGCCCAACATCCAATATCCCATCTCATGGTCCCCATACAAATACAATGCCATCATCACAGGCTTATTGCATCACCCAGGCCCTGGCAGCCTGGATCCGGGTGAAGCTGTCTGTCTGAAGCCGGCCTAGATGCCAAGGCCAGGCAGCTCTCTAAGAGCTCAGGTGATGCTCTGGGTGCCTGACACAGACCAATGCAGCAAGGTTCTTGGTGAGAGAGAAAGGCATGTTACCATGGCATCAGCAACCAAGAACATCTGGCTCTCTCTTGTGGAGCTGGCCCACCCCATATATGGCTGGGCTCCAGCTGCCATCCATTCAAGCTTGATGCGCAAAGTCTCAGTCTATGCTAATGGAGTAGCTAGCATGAGCCTGGGCCTAAGGGAGTCAGGACAGCTCCAGCTAGCCAGGACCCTACAAAATGCCTTCAACCAAACAATACCAATGCACCCCTGCCACCTCTCATCAAGTCTACTTTGAGCCCATCCACCACCTCCGCTCTTCTAAGCCACACTCCCCTGCCTCTCCCTCTAGAACACATCCTGGTTTGTAGTTCCAGCACCCCCACCTTCAAGGCCATGCCTTTGCCTTCTAAGGTCACATTTGACAGTGATGGCAAATGAGTGGCTGCAGGGGCGCTATCACTCCCCCTGTAAATGCCCCTCCCCTGAGGAGACTATTCCCTTTCCTTTAAGTGTGAGCTGGAATTCATGACCCAGTCCTAAGTTACAGAAGCACCCCAATAACCAATCAATCTCTGTCTCTCTGTCCCTGTCTCCCTCTCTCTTGTCCCCCTCTCTGGTGTGTGTGTGTGTGTGTGTGTGTGTGTGTGTGTGTGATTCCCTCCTTATCTCCCCTACCCCCTCTTGGAATTTTTTCAGGAGGGAACATCTGTTCTACCACAGGTCAGTCCTATGGTAAGGAGCCAGGTTTCCTGCACACAGGGAGCCCCCTAGACACAGACTTTCCAGCCCCAGACAGGTCCTCAGATGACCACCCCTCGTGAGAACCCCTGAACACGACTATCAGTGTTAAATGCCAGTTTGACTGGATTAAGTCCCACAGAGGGACCTAAGAAAGTGTTCCTCTGCCTGTGTCTGTCAGGGTGTTTCCAGAGGAGTGTGACCTGGGGGTCAGGAAAGTGAGAAGACCCACCCTCTGGTCCATTTGGCTGAAGATTGAGACAAAAAAGAATCTTCCTTCTCCCTTCTAGAGGTGGAGACATGTTCTCCTCAGGCCCTGTACTTTAGAATCATGAGGACCCCCAGGATTTCCTCCAGAAGCTTCCCACAGGCCCCACCCC